TGCGTTCGGCTCAAGATTTCCTAAAAATAGGCGATGAAGTAGAGGTGGTGGTATTGTCTTTGGATCGTGAAGAACGTAAAATGTCTTTGGGAATCAAACAATTGACTCCAGACCCATGGACCGATATTACCGCTAAATACCCAATAAACTCTAAGCACACAGGAACCGTTCGCAATTTCACCAATTTTGGTGTATTTGTTGAGTTGGAAGAAGGTGTTGACGGGTTGGTGTATATTTCCGACTTGTCATGGACTCAAAAAATTAAGCATCCATCTGAATTCTGCACCGCTGGTGATAAATTGGAGGTTCAAGTGTTGGAATTGGATGTGGACAATCGTCGTTTAAGCCTTGGCGTAAAACAATTGGAAACCAATCCATGGGATGTGTATGAGCAAAAATACGCCATAGGATCAGACCATGAAGGTGTGGCCATCGAAGTATTTGAAAAAGGCGCCACCATTCAATTGGAGGATGCTGAAATCGATGCTTTTGTTCCTGGTCGTCATTTGGATAAAGAAGATGGATCCAAAGTGGCCAAAGGCGATAAATTGATGTTTAAAGTAATAGAATTTGGTAAGGATCAAAAGCGTGTGGTATTATCGCATACCGCAACGTTTAAAGAAGAAGAACAACGCCAAATTAAAGCAGTTGCTGAAAAACAACAACAAACGTCTGAAAAATCCACATTGGGAGATATCGACGCTCTGTCCGAGCTTAAAAAGAAAATGGAGGGCGGTAATTAATCGTTTTTCATATTCAATAAATAAAACCCCGCCCTTTGTTGGCGGGGTTTTATTGTTATATTTGTATGAAAAACACCATGCATCAGCGTTCAAAAATTATAGCCATGGAATTCGATGGGGTGATTGTAGAAAATCGATATCCAGAAATAGGCTCTCCCATGCCATTTGTTTGGGACGCTTTGTCATTGCTTCAAAAAGAGCATTATATATTGGTTTTATGGACCAATCGTCAAGGAGTATTGTTAAACCAAGCTTTGAATTTCTGTGAGGCCAATGGCGTTGTTTTTCATGAAATAAACCATTCATTTGCCCAAGAGGCATATAATCCCAAAACCCAAAGTCGTAAAATCAATGCCCATTATTTTATTGATGCCCGCAACGTGGGTGGATTTATCGGTTGGGGTCGGGTCTATCAATGGATTACATCCCAATCCACGGCCAAGAAATCCCATAAAAGTTTATGGCACCGAATTTTGGGTAAATAGATTGGTTTTTGTAGGGGTTAAGCCACTAACGGAGGTGTTCATCGTATCCAAAGTTGCATTGAATTTTTTGAGGGAGATTCAATCGCATTTATTAATAATGCATGGATTTCTTT